TCTAGATTGTGTTTATTTTAGTGTTTGTTGCATATCTTTCAGTATTTCCGGGCTTGTCTTCCAAACACTGAGCTATGCTTTTGCAACCTCTGCCCTACTGATGATAGTTGAGTTCAATATGAGATGTCGGCTGCATTAGCACCACATCGAGGTATGCTTAATTGAGCTTAATAGCTCTTGATGGCTGGAAAACAGAGGGCATTATTCAATCAGATTGCACAGTAAGCAAGGTCAGTTCTGTGATGCAGCACATATTTACACTGCGCTGTGAACTGGTTCAACTCCCAGACATCGTCAGACATGCCCTAGATCTAAAAGGGACAAGGTGCTTAGCCAATAGAAGGGGACTGGTCTATAGCACCTCCAAATGATGAGAACTTGAATAACATTGCTGGTGCAGTCAAAAAGGATAGGCAACATACAACCTCCTGAATCCAGGATCACCTGAACAGCGGGAGAGAGAGTGGGAAGAAAAAAATCTCGATGCAGATAAAGTCTCAAATAGGAATTTGTTCTGCAAGAGTGGCTTAAAAATAAATGGTAAAAATAATAAAATAGATTATTTTGAAAGAAAAAATAATCTAAACTGGCAGCGAGTTTGTTGCATGAGCCAGAGCAACTATCGTTTTACTGTTTGTATCATTCTGGACTGCATTTGAAATTCACTGACGGGGTGTGTAGGCGACTTTCTGAATACTCGAATAAAATCGCAGGGGCTTATTATTTTTAACTGATAAATAAAATCTCTTAATATGTAGTGTGTGGTTTCTCTCAGTCGAGGGGGTGTCTTGAGAACCAGCATGATTTTTTTAATTAAAATAATTTTTCAAAGAATAATGTATGAAATTTGGAAATCTGCGTGGGAATTATTACGCGCATTTCTCTGGGGTGGAATGAACTGGATACTAACTGCTTGTAACCGTTAGGAAACGCATTGTTTTCCTCACTTCATAAACAAGAGCTATTTAAAACAAAAAGGAAACCTTACAAGTGTAGTGCACTCTCCCCTGTCCCCGTTCGTATTCTCTGATAACTGGGGAACAACAGCTGATCCTAGTCAAACCAGACTATTATCTTGCAGTGGATAAACTGGTACTCAACGTGATCAATAACGAGTAGGCACAGGCTGCTTTTAGCGATCAAGATCGCATAGATAAGTTTCTATTTTACAGAGAGAGCTGAATAACCCTGTAACCTGCACTTTTCCGAAACATGCATGGTCCATCGCGTTTTTACCATATAAAAATGTTACTTCTCTGTCTCTTCGAATCCTTCCTCCCTTGTGCTTCCATCAAGGGTGCTGCAATGCCCGTAGGAAGGTAATTGGAAATCAGAACACAGCAATCCAAGGTCATTGGGTCAGGTTTAAAAAGAGGCAGTCAGCCAAAATAGCACAGTGTGCTTTCTCTTTGTGTGTGCAACATTAACTAAACTCCAGTATTTTTTTCTCACAAGATTTAGTTGGTAACAGACAAAATCCCTACGTTAGCAATTTTTTTTTTTTAGTTTGCATTTTGGCATTCATTTCCAGTGCACACACACGGGGGTAGAGAATATATTAAACAGAATGAATCCAACATTAAAGAATTAAATGCGAGCAGACACTTTCAGGAAACAAAGTGATGGACCAATGCATAAAAAGAAAGACTTGCGGAAAGAGAGGTATTCAGAACTATGAATAAGTATGTATTGACGTTAATCCATAAATGAATCATTGACACATCTATTATGTAAATATTGTCCATTTAGCCGGACTGACTGACTGCAAATCCAAATAAAATGTGTTATTTATGGAGACAAAAAAGATAAAAATAATACTGTCAAATGAGATTTGGCAAACTGCGATGTAATTTTGGCCACATTAATGTCTCGTTGTGGTGTTGAACATTCTCCCCTTTTCATACTCCTGGCACTAGAATCTTTTAGGATTTCTGTGCAGCAGCTGTTAATGCTGAAACTACCCATTTTATACTGTTAAAGGGATGAGGAATGCTTTTGCTTAGACACACAACTCTGGTGATTGTGCAGATTTGTTATGAGAGCTATTGATATCTATAGGCTATTAGAACAAGTTAACAGTAAAGATCGATTTGGATGCAGATTGGCAGGTAATTGAGCTTGGCCTTTTTCTATATTTACAGCCGGTGCTGACTATTCATGATTCAGGCCACTTCCGATCAATATCCAGCCTGGTCCCAAGTGCTGAGCTCCAGTTTCTTTCTGTGCCCACTGTCTACAAAATCCATAACTTATGTCCATCCAGAATGTATGTCAGTGAAGCAGCTCCACAGGGCATAGGAGACAAAAATAGTGGGCAGCCACTGGGACCAAAGGAAAACACAATAAATATGAAAAGATTTCCTGTTGAACGTTAATAAAAAGTTGCACTCAAAAACAGTCTTAAATCAAGGCAGGGCAGTTCAGCTTTGAAACTGGTCAACATTTAAGAACTGCAATTTTCCGTGATCTGATAATTATCACTTGCAATACCTAACACATTCCCATCCCATTTTGCACAGTAAATAGATGGGGTACCACTCTATTGAGCACACTCTCTCTTTGTAAATGTTCTTTACAGTGAGATTGAGCAACCACAATGGACAGACACCGCCTCCTACCTTTAAAAATTGAAATTAACCTAGAGAATTTAGACTAAGCTTTTTTGATATTTTAATTTCTACTTTGGCAAGACACTACACACACACATCTATTATTGATATCGATGTGTAAATACAGTTCATTGTTCATTGGCTAGACTGATTACAAATCCAAATAAAATCTCACTGTGCCCCTCTCATCTCCATTTTCACCTCCAGCTCCTGTATTGAAATGATTGCACCCTTTCTACACCAGATGTGCCATCCAAGTGAAAGGTGACTTGCAACCCAGGTTTGCAGACTGCAATCACAAGTGTTAAGTGAGACATGTGCTGTAGTTCATGTTACACGTTCATTAGCCTATTAGTACCTGTTCCTTTTAAGATCCTTTTCTTCAGAATCCACTTGCAAAGCTTGTTATCTTTCTATGGCTTTGTTACTCCCTGTAGTTTATTTGAGGACCACTATATTAAGCAGTGATTTGCTTGAAGAGCACTCTCAAGAACACTTCTAAATACCATTCCACCGAGAGACTGGATGGGGGTCTGTGCTAATGATTCATTGCACGTGTTGAGCTTCTGATTTTTGATCTCGTCTGAGTGGTGGGCTTGTCACATGGCTTTTTTATTTGCTGGGATACCTGCACCTAATAACGTTGCGTTATTTTGGCCTAGTGCCTAGCATGAAAAGGAGAGAGAGATGAATCCAAGCGCCAGCAACATCCCAAAGCCAAATGGGCTTCAAACAGAGCTTGAGAACCACAAGAGATATTAAGCCTTCAGAGGGCTACCAGTGGGCTGGGGAAGCTTGCATGTTCACCCCTTGGCTACGACATCAATGTTACTGGTTGAAGTTTTAAAAAAAATTTTTTAGGGAGAGTCACAAAGATGGGCTAGTGAAGCTTTGTCCCCAAAACGGTTTTGCTTGCAAATAAATTTAAATCTATAATTAAATATAATCATTTCACGAAACGCAAACACAGACTTTTGCCCACCAGACCTTCGGGCTCCAGCACAGTGCATCTTACTGATGCCATTTTGGATCCGAATAACCAGTGGGTAGTTGACACAAGTGTTAGACACATCAGGTCAGTGGTAACAGAAGTGGGGTAGTGCTTCAAAGCTAAATTTTCAGCTTCACAGCTTCAACAGAATGAATGGAGCCTGAAGGCTTTTGAGACTTCATCACAGCCTAATTGTGATTCATTACGGATCGGAATATAGATGTTAGCGTTCAGTAGGTTTTAAAATGAACAGTATTTTTTTCTTTGAAATGCGCGTATTTCTGTGAAGTTAATGCACTTACCACAGTCTATCCTGTAATCTGGCAGCATACAGCTTGTGCAACTTGATTTATGCAAGTTATTCAGAATGTGCATGATCTTCTTTATCACTAATATGCAAAATCTTGAAAGTTTGTGTGGGCAGTATTGGTAAAATGTTGCCCAGAGGTTCACAGAAGTGATCAAAGTGAACCTTAAAATGCCTGATGTGGCAAGCTGAATGCATTACTACACACTTCAATTCATGTCTGCAATTGATGGTGAACAATGCTTCCTGCAACCTCAGTTTATCTAACGCTCTTTCATTAAACCATTTAGGGCCTGAGAGCGCAATAGTCCTTCACAGTGACATCAGTGACTGTAGGTCACTTTTATTGCGTCACTCAAGAGGCTGTGGTCTTATCTCATGCACTCAGTCGCTTTTACCCGTCTGTCAGCAGGAAATGGTTCAAATTGAACTTCATTTGGAAGTGCATTTGAGATTTTAGTCCAATAATACAATAATTAAAGTTCTGGTAATGATAATCCAAAAATTGCAGATTAAAGACCCAGTAGGTAAAATTAGATACCTGATTAAGGGTGAATTGTCACATCCGTCCCTAAGTAATGAATCAAGTTTAAGTCTTGTTGGAGTGGAGTTGTGGTCCCTTGTCTCGTTCTTTCCTCTTTGATACTGAAACTGCCCAAAGAGTAACTGGAAGCAACAGAGCTTTAACCACAAGTGGCAGACTTCTTTGGTGCTGCACACACTCTCTTAAGAATGGGAAGATAAAGTAGACTGGCGAGTGAGAGAGATGCACTCAGCATTCATCTCAGTTGGAACATGGGGAACCGGCTGTTTTCATGAATTGATGGTACAATTCTGAATGTATTAAAGCCTCCAGTCCAGGCTCTTGCGGGACAGAGATAAAATAGAAGCGTCAGCTTGAAAGGTCGAATGTATTTCACTGAAAGCTGTTAGATCATTTCCTTGACAGGCATTTGAAGATCGAAGATGGATTGCTTGGAATTAAATATCTCCAGGTTGTATTTGATTGCTTTTTTGTCTGTTGCCAATCACAACACAGTCAATCTTTTGTCTTCTCTCTCTCCTCCCCTCCCACCCATTTTTTTTCTTCTAGTAAAATTTAATGACTGCGATGGGAATCGAGACATACAGTATGGAACCAATGACCCCGACTTCAAGGTGGGAACAGACGGCACCTTATACGCCACCCGATCGATGCAGATCGCCTCAAAGCAAGTGAAGTTTACTGTGACAGCGCAAGATGTTCAGGCCCAGAAGAAATGGGAAGCAGTGGTCAAGCTCCTGGTAAAAGCGCAGGGAAATGCAAGGCACAATGTACAAAAGGTATTTGCGCCATCTGTTTTGAAGATATTTTTCTTAAAAGAATCTGGGCTGAAAACCTCTCAAATACCGTAATATGCAAATGGCTGGTGATTTGGTCTACTGACTAATACCTTCCAGATGTCTAGGCAGCTAGAGGCTGATTGATATCAAAGGCAGGTTTGCTGTTAGCAGATCTGCACCAGCTGGCAAGGCTGGTTTCGGCTGAGTGTAGTGTACAGTGAAAGCTGGTGGTAGTTCACGCACTGTGGTTCTTGGAGCTTGGTAAATGACTGCAAGTGGCACAAGCAGAGAGTTTCTAACCGAGATGGAGTCATGTCCTTTTTCTTAATGCACAAAATCCTTAAAGTTAAAGGCCGAGCAATTGCCAACCTTCCGAACTTAACACTCTCAGTTCATTTCACATTTCTCCACTTGTTCTTTATTATTCTATTATTATTGTTACCTGCTGCTAACGCTCTTAGAATGAAATACATATTCCCCCGGTACATATTTCCCGGGATCAGGAATTGTACTGGAGCAAAGCCACATTTTCCCCAAATGTTCCGAGCAAGCGTTTTCCAGATCTCCTCCTAAAATTGTCTGTTGTTTGACCTCCAGAGTAAAGTGCGATCCACAATGCAATGTACGCCAGGCCTACCTTGGATTAGTTTCACGTAAATCAAAGCTTGATTCTAATTCTGATTGTCTTGGGACTCGATACTCAAAACGTGAAGCACACCTGGGTAACGGAGTTAGTATTCTGAACAGATCAGATCCAATGGGCCAAAGCACCTTCTTCATCCATAACGTTCTTTTATGGTCTCGTGAGCTCCACTAATCTGCCTGCTTCCAGGCTACATCCTGAGCTAGGATTACAGCACCAGGTCCCAGGCTCTGTGGCAAAGGTGTCAAAAAGGGTAAAGGACTCGAAGAGAACAATAAGATTAGGAAGGGCGCTTTAAAAACTCATAACGTCCAACTAGTTTTCCTAATGGCTCTCCCACCTTGTAGATTATCTTTTACAAAGGAGGATTTAAAATGAACTGGAAAATGACACCACCGCTGGGGTGATTTTTTTTCCTGTGAAGAAATGAATATTGTGACAACAAGGTGCTGTGGAATGTTATCTCAGTTAATCGAGATTTACAATTGCAAGGATTTCAGACGAAACCAGTTCACGAATCAGAGTAATCGCTAACGGGTCTTGTCAAATGGGAACATTAAAGACACTCGACTCATTGCGAAATTTATGGACGATCCGTGTTGACAAAAGCTAACGTCAGCTTCTGATAGAATTGCCTGAAAGATTCAGTGGTTTAAAAATTACAATCCAAGCAAATGTCTCTGAACACAGATTAGGAAAGAAATGACAGCAACAACAAATCACATTTAGTGCAGAGCCTTTCATGTCGGGAGGACATCCCGAGCCCCTGAAAGGAAACATTGAGTTGCCCCAGCAGTTTTACCTAGGATTACGTAAACAGTTATAGCACCAAAATTATCCATTTTGACCATCTAATCCATACCAGTGGTTATACTCCATGGTGCCCTTGCTCATTCTCTCTCCAATCCCCATCTATTTACTTCTTCCTCATGTATTTTCGTTATCAATTTCCCTCCTATGTGCACCATGGTGCCTAATGGTTTATCACATGTGTCAGTTGATCTTTAAAAGCGATCCCACAGATATGCAAAAACAAAATTGTTGTGATTCACTTGAAATTGCCTTATTGAACAATTTCAGTTGTTTTGTATGAAAAGGTCAAAATCCCAGTCTTGTGTATCGATATGCAAATAACCTGAACTTATCTGTTCATTGGTGTTGATTGTTTGAAACCTGATAATGCCTTAGATTGGCAAAGTTCCACTATCTCGAAACACTACGGTAAATATAAACACTAGAGTAAATATGTAATTCAGTTGCTGTTAGTCATTTTATACCTTGCGTGTGGCTTCAGTTTTATTGATTTTTTACATTTTCTCAAGTTCTGGGAGAGAAATCCAGTGGAATTAAATGCAGTCTATTGTCAAACATGGGCACAGAGCTGTTGGGTTGACTCCATCACATTTCGTAAGATTATCCCTATTTATTGCGTGCAAGTAGATCTTTGTTGTTCAAACATGTGGATCCAGATCTGTTATAGTATGGGCACATTGTGTAAGAATTGGGACTAGTCAGGTGATTTGAGCTCCAGTGACCTCACTCCCTGGTATATCTTAGTTTCTCTTCTCCTCCTTCCCATTCCTCTATATCTAGATTGTCTTGTTGCACAAATTATATCCCTCACTGCTAAGAGGATGGTGAGATGAGCTGATAGTAGTTATCCTACAGAGCCTCTTAAGTGCCACATCTTAGTCACTTCAACAATAAGTGCACCAAGTCATTTAAAGACGAAAATCCTTACTTGTGTAACGTTCTTCCTCATTTTACATCACCCACATTGACATACTCACTGCTCCCACTAACGCCAGTCAGCGGAAACTAAAGGTCAAAATGCTTGTGAAGACTTTGATTAAAACTCGAGTTTCCCAATTATCTCCCAACCAGCTATCATCGTACCCATCAGAGTACCCTGCAGACTATTTTTAAAATTAATTTGTTGATTACATTCAAAAATCAATTCCAGATGGTGTGCACCTTGACGAAATCAAATCCTGCATCCTGGCAAGTTCTAGGAGCTTGGCAAAAGTCGGAGGTGTCATGTACAACAAAAAGCTTCGTAGCCAGCTGAGGTGTCAGCTTTTCCTAACTGCAGCGAGTCTAGCACTCTTCATGTTATCAGAAACCTGGAGAATATCAAATAACACCCCAGCTAAAGAAAAGTTGGCAGTTCGTGAGAACTGAAGAATTGCTAGATGAAAGAAGACCAAGGTCCATCCAGTTTGCCTTCATCCCGGCAGTCGCTTGCACATGTCATGTCCCAAACTATATACTGTATCTGAAGATATTATTTCCTAAAAGAAATCTATCTAATTTGCTTTTGAAAGAATCAACATTTTCAACTTCCACCATCTCTCTTCGGGAGCTTGTTCCATACATTTACAACCGCTCACTGAAATAGTATTTCCCTAGATATGTGAATGTACCCCCTTCAATCGCAGGCCATGTCCTGTAGTTCTAAAGTCCATAGAGAGTATCTTCAATTGGCCACCAGGCGTGGACTGATAGCACATCTTATCAATGCACAGAAGAATCTAGAGTTGGGTGGGAGGGGAGGAGGGAACCAAAATAATACCAGCAAACTGCCAGATCACTAAAGTGACGTGAGATTGCATTTCATACCAATATAAACTTTTACGCAGCATTTAATAAATAATACTTTGCATTTATATAGCCCCTTTTACAACATAATAAATGCTTTCAAGCACTTTTCAAAACCGGATTAACTAGAAGTGAAAGTTATTGTTATTGTACAGTTAAATCCGGCTACTAATCTGCACCAGGAATATTGCCTAAACAGCAATGAGGCAAGTTGCCAATTCATTAAAATTTAGGAAGAGGTTTGGATTGGGAGAGGAATGTAATCCTGGGTAACACGAAAAAAGAACTCCACATTTCTTTGAGATGGTAATAGCAGCTACTTAGTACACTGAACATAATTTTCCCCTCTTAAAAAAAAAAGTGAATATATTTTCAAATGTTCGTTAGATTTACCACTAACCACTGTATTGAAATAAAATCTTTGCTTACTGCCTGAGCTCTGCATAATGAGCTGTAAGTGCCGTGCGGTTACTATGAAGCAACTGAATAGCACAGATTTATCGCAGGTTACTTATGGCTGCTGTACAGAATTTATTTCACTGTTTTTTTTTACAATGTTTTAGAAAACGCTGCACTCTTTCTTCAAAGACGGAGGTGTCTGGAGTATGAATGCAAAAGTTCTGGCAGTCATGTTGACTTATACATAGCAATTCTGCCTTGCGTCAGTAAACAGGGCAGATGCCAATAAACTGCATTAAGCTATTGAACTGTAACATTTCTATTAATTTTCATGTGTGAATTTTCATCACGTTACACTGCCAGTGCCGTTTTAATAATTGATCGCCTGAAGTACTGATATGAAGAGCAGTTTTGCTTTTTATTTTATAAGCAGAATGGGCCACAGAGTGTCCCTCCAGAGCCTACCCAGCAGCTTGGCTATACCCTCTTACTCTGGCGCCAACAGCAGAGTTCCAGCGGGCTGAAGCGACAAAAGAGAGACTGGGTTATTCCTCCAATCAACGTCCCGGAGAATTCCAGAGGGCCTTTCCCCCTCCAGCTGGTTCGGGTAAGCAGTGAGCACAAAAAAAAACCAAGTGTTCATGTGTATGGAACCGTACATAAATATGCAAAGAAAACACATGCCTTTCCTCTCTTATTTAAAAATCTTTCAAAATGGAAAATGACCGTGAAATTAAGTTGGAAAAATATGTTAAATCGAATGAAAATCCTGGGCAGTGCTGGGAGGGGAAGGAACAGGCTGGGCCGTTTGCCTGATTGTGTGTTTTTTTTGTGAAGCGGCCTGGTTGACTGTGTGGCCTCCACGATGTCATCTGTCCTGTAGATTTGATAGTACTGTTTGGCAAACGCCGAGCTCGTTCCTGCCAGCAGTCTGGAGCTCTATCCAAGTTGCACTGCTCAGTTCCATCGCTGTTGCAATGTTGCTCATATCAGGAGAGAACTATGGCTTCCAATGAGACAGAGGTGCATTCCCTCCTTCAGTTTGCTTTGTTGCTCTTTAATAATCAGATACATTTTTTGCATGTGTGTGTGTGTGTGTGTAGATGTATATTTGCTATTTTAGTTCAAAACTCATGCAGGATACGCTAGAGAAATCATTTCTGGAGCAGTCTTCATATAACACCAGTCCACACTTGCAGCGCACAGTGCTGTTGAACTAAAAAAAGGAACTAGCCATTCAAAAAGGGAAAAAAAATACAGGTTGACCAGACCACAGGATTTCCTGTGAAAATGTGTGAGCTTGTATGAACAAAGAAAATTCATTTCATTGTGTTATTAATAAAATGATCTTATGATTGACTGTTTGGGTGAAATTGGCAACATTTCACAACTGATTCCTTGTAGATGTAAAAATCCTCTATGAAAGTCAGAATTTTATCCTCTTTAAGCGCACCCAAGATTGTCTATACTGAAATCAGATTCCCAGTTGGAAAATAATCCAGACAAGAATTCCATATGTTATGAATGCCATTGGCAGATGGTTGCTGAAATTTTCTGATTCTGTGTTAAATTGCTGTTTTTCTTTGAAAACTCTGGTAGCAATTTTTTTCGCTGTAGATGTGTATTAGTTACATGTCCAGGCAGCAGACATTTCAAACGTTAAATTGGGGGTGGGGGGATGGGGATATCGGGAAAGATAGACAGCAGAGAGAGAGAAGCAAAGAAAAGATGTAAAGGAGTAAGAAAAATGGAATGAGAAAGAAACAGAGAGAGGGGGACACAAAGAGAAAGAGACACGCAAAGAGAGAAAGAGAAAATGCGGGTAAAAATACTACTAATGGCAAAAAAATGAAGATACACAGGAAGTTTAGTAACTAACTGTACAGTCCGCACACGTTGGAGAAATCATGAAGGAAGATGTGAATGGGGTTTTGTTTTATAATTGTTTTTTATTTGATCCGTTTGATACGTAGGAAAGTATCCAGGGATAGTGTGAATTACAAGAAAAGCTTCATCAGGAACTGAGAACATTTGCCTTTTCATTTGATAACTGTTCGGGATCTGCAAGAAGTCACAGCTGTAGTTACTCACCTTCCCCAGAGGTTAACCATGGAATAACGTTGTCACACTTAGAACCATTGATTTATGGAACAGACTCTGTTGAAACATTCAAATGGATTTGGATCAAATTATACTGCAGGGAATGGAAGGACAATTGTTGTTGGTGGGAAAATCATACAGAGGCATTCCTCAGGGTCCTGAAATGGGTTCATTAAAGGTGGAAGCTGGGTAGGCTGCCTGACCCTTTACTTCATTATTAATTTGGGAAGCATCCATAACAGTGTGAATTGCATACGATATCTTGGGAGAAGCCTGCTCGTTGTGCCAAATGGACTTTTCTTGTTCACTACTCCTCCTGTTCTTGAGTATCCTATGATACATCCCAGTTAAATGTTCTTTGCAATCCTCAGGGATTTGTAGAGTGTTTTTTCGAACAAAACGTACGGGATCATATGGGAGCAACGTCCCCAGTCTAGAAAGGCAGTCTGCCACAAACTGATAGGATGCTGACAAGCACTTGAGGGGCTGGTTGCAGTTATTTAATCAATCGTGAAAGTTTTATTTGAATACAATTTACTTCTATAATGTTTGATTAATGGAATAATTGTCGTGCCTTGAAACACCCTAGCTGATTTTAATAGTCAGTGGTGGGCACGAAAATAAATGAAAAAGAACCTTCTAATGAAGCTGATAGTTTTTACAAGCCACCAGTGTGTTTCACTGATACATGAGTAATTGTCATCTGCAGCAACATAATTATATTGTACTCTGCACAGGGCTATTGCAGGAATAAGCGTTGCTGTTCATATTAATGAAGCGCAGAGTTCAGTGTTTGAAATTAATTTTGGTTAAATGATTGAAGCTTACTCTTTGTATCTTCTTTGAATCATTAAAATGAATTCTAAATTGCCAACGCATCTTTTTAAGTTACATCAGCATATTGATCCCCTAATTAAAAGCTCTGAATATATTCTTTACCAGCCTCCGTTTTAAAGTGCACACAGATTATTTGTGGCTGCGAAGCAGGTGGGGGTCAGGAATGACTTTAAGATCTCGCTTTGTATAGTACTTACTTCTGCGATGGATAATCCTCTCTAGCGAGCAACTGTGAGGAACATGACTAAGATTGATGGATGCAATAAATAATGGTAATCCAAGATCAGGGAATTAGTGACAAACTAAGCAAGTGAAAATAGCTTCCAAATACTTCCGATGCAGCTGAAATATTAACTATTAACCCCCCCCTCCCCCCAATAGAAAACATGAAAATTAAAGTTTGACACAGATTATAAGTTTTTTGGCTTTGTGGTTTTGGAATGCAGACTATTCACGTTAAGAATGATAAAAGGCTTGCTTCTATTACCTTAACATGGGAATATGTTTCACAAAGGTGGTTTGTCTTTTTACTGACATTTACAAATTGTATTTCTAATTTTATCCTTTTTACACCTCAGCGCAATTTTCCTTCAGATGTTACAAAATGTCTTGGCCGTAGGCTTCCCTTTGGCCCCAACCATGCTGCTCCATATTTAAAATATATAACTCTTACGTTTAGCGAAGCACCTTTCACATCGGGAGAATGTCACAAAGCATTGCTGTAAATGTGAAGTGACTGTAGATTTTGTGGGTGAACACACTAGCCAATTTGTGCATAGCAACGTCCCACAGACAGCCAGGTAGTGAATGACCAGTTTTATTTTGGTGGATTCTTTGCCAATTGTTCCTTTTTGAATAATGCCATAGGATTTTTTAACATCCATCTGAACAAGCAGGCTTAAGGCATACATGGCATAAATCAAGAAATGTTTAATCAAGAACATTTATTTCGCTGGCAGACGAAAGATGTTGGCCACCACTGACATAGACGATATGAGTTCCAAGTACTGACGTGGGGCTTGAAGCCACAACTTTCTGAGTCGGAGGCAAGAGTGCAACCAACTTTGTAAGGAAAGGGTGTGCTCAGCGGGATAGGTTAGGCCTCCTACCCACTCTTGATGATTTCCCCCCTCCTCTCTGAAATGGCGAGGTATACAATTCAGTGTCGTGAGTATACATTTTCCCAGACAGGATAAATTGTGTTGGAGCTCACTGAATTCCTCTTCTACTGTGGAATCTCAAAAACCCTCAAGTGAAATCGAGACTGTGTGACTGCTGGAAAAAAAACACCCGTGGCTTAAAGAGGATTTTCTCCAGCCATTCCCTGTATGTCGAACAGACTCACAAGACTTGGGCTCCGTTGCGATCCGAGGTCCAAGTCGACATATTGTGAGCTTGTGTTCAATCCAGGAAATTCCCTGAAGAAAAGCTGCTTATATCATGGCTGCTTCTGCCAGGGAGGCATGGAATGAGCAATGCTGTTACAATACTTTACGGAGTGTAATCGTCACCAGTCTACTTTACAAGATGAATTATTGAAATCCGCACGGCTATGGTGAAGTTCGTATGGTACTTATCTCACATATAGTTGCATATTAAAATACCAGGACTCCAGTCGACTACTGTGCACATGAGGCCTTTTGTCAGTTTTCATCTGTCTACTGTTTGGAACTTTCTTTTATGTGCATGTTGCAGAAAAGCTTCTCCGTTCGGTTCACGCGACACCTTGTTAATAATTCATGATAACAAAAGTAAGGATGGATGTAGGTAGCAAAATGGGGGACTTACCAGGGAATTTTGTGCTCCCTGGGCCAAACTATTTCTTTTTTAATTTCATTTTGCTCGCAGCACCCATTGTGACTGGTGGAGAATCAACCCCTAATATAGTCAAGACGAGCTGATACTACTGACTTGCGAAGAAAATTATTGGAATAAATAAGTAGATATGCTTTCAAAAAATCTTTCTTGATATTTTTTCCCTGTTCTTGCCTCTATATTGTTCTATTTATATGTATTATTTTCTCTCTTATTGGTTCTATTCTGTATTTTTCCTTCATTGAGGTCCATACACCCCATTTTCCTCCTTTACCAACCTGCTGTCTTCTGTCTTTTGATGGGTGCCTAAAATCAGCCAGATCTTTGGCTCTAAAGGTTGTCTTTTCATTTAATCCATCCTTGGCCTTAGACAGGCTTCATCATTCCAACAATAGGTCACACCTTTTGCATCTTTTTTTCCCTGAACGTGGAAATGAACGAAGTCGTTAGCACTTACATTTATTTTCTAACCATATAATTTTTTGTTTTGAAAAGTGATAGCTACACCCATTGACTGTTGACTTCATCTTTCTGACCCCATTTTTCATCTCAAATTGCTGAGAATACTTTGATAAGTTACCCAGGGAGTGATCTTCCCATTTGACCCATGATAATCTCGTTCTATTGCGTCAAGACTATAGAATTAGGCATGGACTGGCATACTAACTAACAGCTGGATTTTGATGAGCACCAGTTCTCCAGTACATGACATTATCATACAAGCTTGCAAATAGGAAGCGGTTCATCGCACAATTTGTGAAAGAGTAGGAAAATCTTTTAACGTTTTCCCAGCAGAAAGGGCAACTAAATCAATAGATAAACGATGAGAAATCTCTGCAAAATCAGTTTTCCTTT